GTGTGCGTGCGTGCGTGTGCGTGCGTGCGTGCGTGTGCGTGTGTGCGTGTGTGCGTGTGCGTGTGGTGTGTGCGTGTGTGTGTGTGTGCGTGCGTGCGTCCGGACCTGTATCTTAGACATGCCTGGACGAATACATATGCATGTCAATTTGTTTCACCATCTGATTCAAGATTGCCGAATGGCGGCCATTTTTGTGCTAAAAATCATCAAAATCAAGCAATTTTCGGCTGTTTACAGATGGATTTTGTTCAAAATTAGTATATACATTAGACATTATAGGACCTTGATGTACATCATTTTGTTTTGCAGATAAGATTTAAAATGGCCGACTGGTGGCCATTTTGTTTCAATAAATGTGGTTCTAGTGCCATATCTCTGACTTGCCTCATTGGATTTCAATGAAACTTTTAAAGAGTACCCATCTCATTTCAATGAACCTAAGACTATGCACCATATTAGTTTTTGGTAAATATTTATGCTTCTTAAACACCTAATTAACATAATTAATTAATACTGATATCTCAAGTATTGATCATCACATTTGAAAAAAACTTGGTACATAAATGCTCTAGGACAATAGACAGTCTGATTTTGGGTTAAAATCTGTTCATATTAATTCTCTAATTAGTATAATAATTAATATTTTTTTGGTTCTAATCACATTTCAATGAAACTTGGTACACTGTGCAGACATTATTAGTTTTACACTTAAATCTGTTCATATTAGTTACCTTATTTGCATAATTAGTTTTCAGCTATTCCATCAATATCTCAAGTATAAGTAATTTTGAATTAATTTTTAATGTGTCTCCAAAACTCTCAGCACACGGGAGTTCTTTCTAAGCTTTTTTTGACTATGAATATTTTTGTAATTTTTGGTAAAATGTGATATTTTCGAGTTCTTGTTGAAAATCGCAAGTGCAATTGCTTTGATATTACATATATAGGTAATATATGTTGACCCCTCTCAGATTTGTTCATTTTGTAGTGATATCTCTAATTTGGTGAATATTTTTGTAATTTTTGGTAAAAAGTGATATTTTCGACTTCTAGTTAAAAACCTCAAGTCCAATTGTTTTGATATTACATATATAGGTACTACATGTGGACCTCTCTCAGATTTGTTCATTTTGTAATGATCTCTTTAATTCTCTAATTTTGGTGAATATTTTTGTCATTTTTGGTAAAAAGTGATATTTTCGACTTGTTGAAAATCGCAAGTCTGATTGTTTTGATACTATACATATTGTTCATTTTCTAATGATATCTTCAGTTCTTAATTGAAATGTGCATTGCTAACAGCAGAGCTATCTCAGCCGAGAGGCTGCTTGTAAATATTCATTATAGATCATATCATAGATGTACAGATATATTGGTTTGACGATTCTATTAAAAATGGCCGAATGGTGGCCATTTTTGTGCTAAAAAATCATCAAAATCAAGCATTTCCCGGCTGTTTACAGATGGATTTTGATCAAACCTTGTATATATACTTTGAACATTATAGGACCTTGATGCACATCATTTTGTTTTT